TTAATATATATATATACTAGGGCCGGGACTTTAACGCGTTAATTAAGATTAATTAATTACACAAAAATTAACGCGTTAAAAAATTAACGCATTTTAATCGCACTTATTTTTGCACCGCGGAACGTTTCTCACTGGATGAGTTTCAGGGGTACCGATTATACTGGAGCACCAACTAACGTTCATGACTTCAACAACAACAAACCACAGTGAACAATAGTCAAACATGAACGAAAAGCTGATGAGACCGCTTTGGTTGGCCCCGTGGATGGGACATTTTGTTTTAAAAAACGGACGGATGGAAGCATCGATAAGAGCACGGTTGTTTGCAAATTATGCAAAAAGGAATTTGCGTATCACCGCAGCACATCAAGCCTCAAGTATCACCTCAATGCAAAACTATAGCGCTAGTGGAAGCTAGCGTGGACGTTAGCCCGACTCGGAGTACAAGGACCCACACCCAATTCGCGTTGATCAAACAGTGGCCTATGCAACAGAGAGATTTTATTTTTCATCAGGATATTGGAAGAATAGGAGGGATTGAGGTCAATCACTGGCACTTTTTTATTTTATTTTAAATGGTACAGTACACTTTATGTTGAACTATTTATTACGTTGTTGGTGCAACTGGCACTTTATGTTGAACTGTTTATTGTTTTGGCCAAGGTTATTGAGAGAGTTGGACTGAAATTGATTAGATTTTTTAAATCAACTGTTGGTAAATCAACAAAGTCTGTTATGGCCTCTGAAGCAACAGAGAGATGTTTTCTAATAGTCAGGGTTTCCAATCTTCTGAATGTACTTGAAAGTATTGTGTTTTACTTAAAAAACAAAGTGTTATAGTTTACAGAAGGTATACCTACTGAATCTCTGAAATGTACTATATTCCTAAATATGCTATTGCTACACTTTATGGCAAAAATTGCACTTTTCTGTTGGTCTTTGTTAAGTACCACCTTGAAAAAAATAAACAATGTTTTGTTGCTTAAGCTTATGTATTCAGTCATTATTCAATGGTATACTAAAATCCATGTGAAAAAAATTGCTTGTCACTGTTCTCAGGTCAAATATTTATGTGATTAAAAATGCGATTAATTGCGATTAATGAATTACAAAGCCTGTAATTAATTAGATTAATTTTTTTAATCGAGTCCCGGCCCTAATATACCACCTCTGTTTATAGCCTATGAAAAAAACTATTAGAAATAGAAGGCTAAAGCTAACGTTAGCAGATAGTGACAATGTATGCTAGCTAGCTAGCTAGCTCAACGATTCCTTAAATAATATTGCCACAGAAAAACTTTTCAGTTCACATCACGCTCTGCCGCTACGACAGGGAGCTCTGCTCTGAACACCTGAACGGCCCGTTCTAACAGCTGTTCACCAGCGTGCCACAGTGACTCCAGACGCACAGTTAATATTAACGAACGCACCCATAGGTAATGTAGCTGCTGAAGCTAGACCATCATCTCGGAGCAGCAGAGCCTTATTATACATCCATGAGCAGAGCCGACAGGCAGGAAGACGAAAGGTGACAAGTTTGCATCACTGAGAATTTGAAATGAGAAAAAATAAACCTCTAGAAACATGTGTGTCAATACCTTTTGGTTTGGTTGAGTTAGTTTAAAAAAATGATTAGTTTTCTTATATAAAGCACTTACTGGTATAGTGGGCGGGGCAGGGGGTAGGCCACAAAACGTTTGTGTGCCACTGCGAAGATGTACTCCACCAGGTCATGCAGGAGGTAACGGTTTGGACTAGAAACCAGGATAAAAGGAGGAAGAAAACAGGTTAAGGAAGAGATTCATTTCCATGTTAGTCTTTGCCGACACAGATACAGGTCATGAACTATAGACGACAAGATATGTAGACAAAAGGTGTTCCATTTTTCTATGCACCCAATGTCCTCCATACAGATGATCGGAATGCTTTTTTCCACTTTATTGCAAATTAACATTATCCGTTTGCATAAAGAAAACAGAATTGCTTTTGTCAATTGACTGTATACATTTCAGAATACACATTGTTCAGTATGATTAAACCTTCTTTTCTACATGCGACGGCTGTATACGTGTCATATGTTCAGCTTTTAGGTACATTTTATGAAGCTAAAATCATAACTTTTTCCCATGGCACTCGGGGACCTCAGAGCCTCTCATTGCTGCCTGTGCAAGAGAGCTACAGTAGGGATAAGAGCAGGCAGGCAGCAATCGGATCTCAATGCATCTTGGTACCACTTTTGATGGGATCACCTCAGACACATGTGAAGGCCATGTCTGAACAGGGTATTTGTTCAGGGTTCTGTCTTTTCTTTCCTCCCAAGACTAAAAAGTTATACTTTTGTAGGATTCCTATTTTCCTACTATTAAAAATACAATAAAAACATGTATTTCTGTGCAATGCAGCCATTCAGACCCAGGAAATGTTTTGATGCATTAAACTTTAAGGACTACAATGAAGTGTTTTTTTTTTTGTTACACTTTCTTGGACCAGTACAAAGAATGGTTATAATGGCTGATTGATCTTGCCATGAATTAAAATCTGTAAATAATGTGTGTTTTGTGTTATGATTGTAGAATTTCATGACTGCTCTACTCCCAGGGAAAGGTTTTCAAACAAAGGGATTATTTAAGGGCTGACCACCACCTACCCAACTAAAGCGTAGGTCTTTCCATTAGCATCCGGGTCTCTGATAGCATTGACAATGGCCTTGGCCACATCCACCACCTGCAGGAGGAAAGAGATGGTTAAGCCAGGATTGTTTGAACATTTAGAGTTATTCACTGTGTATCGTTTCCTTAAGACAAACAATAGAGATGGATAGAATAGAATCAATGGGAGCAATACAGTGATGCTCCTTGTGAAATTCCTTCTGTCTTAAGCCAACTTAACCTGAAGTCAGGAGCTTCACAGAGACTCAGCTGCTAAGCAATTTCTGGATATTTAAATGTGTGATAAAGGGATAGATTTCAGAAGGGGTATTGCTTTAAATAAACGTACATAAACAGGCTGCTTCACGGTCTTCTTCCCCCGGGATATGAGTGGAATAGCATTCCCAAACCAACGCATATCTGAAAAAGATTTGAAGAAACACATAGCATTTGGAGTTAAACTCTTCAAACGTCTACTCCCACTGTCAAACAAGTGGTCCAACTTGTTTTTTTAAATATAGTGTATATACCTGTGTTCGTAGAAGGAGTGTTAGAGCATTTTAGAAAAAAAAGACCCGTTTCTCATTACTCAGAAGCCCTTTCTCATTTCTCTAATTTCCCCTCCTCAAGACTTAGTCCCGCCCACAGGAGATGCGAGCGGAGGACTGATGAGGGGAACCGAGGAGAGAGGAGGGGAAGCAGCAGGCGGTTAGAGAAATGAGAACTCCTCTCCTCTGAGCGGTCATTTTAAAGAGACGTCCATTAATGATGACAGGAGGCACAGCAGCCCTCATCATTAATGGACGTCTCTTTAAAATGACCGCTCAGAGGAGAGGAGTTCTCATTTCTCTAACCGCCTGCTGCTTCCCCT